ACTTTTATGCAAATTAGCTAAAACGTAAACATTGCCGCCCATCTATACATTCTTATAAAACGATAAAATAGTGGTTACCCGGCTAGTATGCACATGGCAGGGACCGCGACACGACCGCCGAAGACGGTGACCGGTCATAGTATATATGAAAGGGGGGGGCAGGTTTAAATTTCTAAAAGAATGGGGATGGGTAAAAATATGCTTAGCCCAAGTAGTGGCTCTAGAGGAGGGGGGGACCAAGCTCAATAACCCTAACCTGTCGACTAGGGGTGGGTTACAAAGTAAATGTTATGTTCGGTCTTGGCTAGCACGCACATGTCAGGGACCGCGACACATATTTTGGATTTGGGATCTAACGAACGCCAAGGCGGGAGTATTAAGGGAGTTTGAACCTCCCCCAGGAAGTTTTGAAATGATAACTCTTGGAAATGCGATTTCCAGCATGTTAAAGACATCGAGGGCATATAGAAGGGATCAATTTTATGTGAACTTTTCAATAATTTTTATGAAATTTTTGAATATTTCCTTGCCACTAGTACTGACAGGCGCGTAGCGTGGACGTTTTGGCTAATACGCACATGGTCGGGACCGCGACACATATTTTGGACACAGGTAGCCCAAACTATGCATTTTAACCGTTTCCAGTAATTTTGCGAAATATGTTTAGTTTAATAAAAATAAACATCTCTTCTTGTTTATTGGAGTTTTCTTTGCATTCCTGTGGAGTTTCAGGCCATTTTGAGCTATTTTGAGTCGTTTATCGCTTATGTGTGATAAAATTTGCCTTTTGATGACCCTTTGATCAAATTTCTTTTTGCAGTAAATCATTCAAAGGGCTTCTCTTCAGTGTGTGTTCTAATGTGTGTGATCATATTTGCCTTTTTTAATTTCTTTTTGCAGTATGAGCATTCAAATGCCTTCTCTCCAGTATATTTACAATTGTATTTACTCCTTTTTCTATAAGAAAGAATATGTCCAGTCTCTCTACTAACACTATGTTCAGAGAGAGAAATWTGTGTTTTTTGTACATTTTTGTTAAATCATAAGTGTGGTTTAAGTCATTTTAGTAATCCACCTAGGTAATAAGAAACTGTCAATTAGTAAGTACACAAAGAAATTTTGTATAAGTATCTATATAAACAACAGATGGTGTAGCAAGATTCATATTCTGTATATCTACAACAACGAGCTGTAAATTTAATTCAGATAGTGTTTTAATGTCAATGAATAAAGGAGTGAAAGAAAGGATACAGTCCCTTTGATTCCCGTGGGTGGGGTACTCCTTCCAAAACTTGGGTGGGGTTGTGCCGCAAGACCCTCAAAACCCTTGCCCTGTCCCAGACAAACTTTTGTGATTTTACATAMCCTACCCCAGRCTAAAGGYRCATTATTTTAGCGCTGAAAGCGTGGCCTTAGCAGATACGATCAAAGGCAAAACTCCACCCTACCCCAGACAATGAGAMTATGCCCTATCCTAGACAAACACTACCCTCACTATTAATTGAAATTACAGTTGTTCCAATCCGACAATTAATAAAAAGAGAAAAAATCGTTGCTAGATTAGATTAACACTACTATTATTGGTTAGGTACATGTACTTATGGCAACATATCACTCATCAGATACCCCGTTAATTATGTCTTTAACATAGAGAAAAAGGAAACAAAAGATAAATCCTAACCTGGGAACAAGAGGCTGGATTTACTCAGGACGGCGCTTCGCGCCGTATATAAACTACAAGAACGAGTAAATCCAGCCTCTGGTTCCCAGGGTAAATAAATCCTGGCTCCAGCCCTGTACTGTCATATGACAGAACATATTATTATAGATCAAATGAGTAAAGTTAAAAGCCAACGTGCATCCAAGAACCTTTGTTGTAGATTCTTTTGCTGACTTCTAATTAAAAAAAATCCCTGAATTATCACTCATTTAAAA